CTGTAAAAAAAAACATATTTCCCTTACTCATGTCCAGCCCCGACAATAATTGACTAGCCTGGGCCGAACTACCATTTGGTAATTACATAAATACCAAGGTAGGTTATAAAAAAGAATTTGGTGCATCGGCCGGGAATTTCAATAAAAAACTCAATATTATCAAGCAAAGTACAGTTAACAACGGATTTAAAACTCAATCAATAGACAAAACACTTTCTAAAAAAATCTGCACAAAAGCAATTCGGGAAGTCTTCTCTATTGATGAGTCAGATAATCAAAATTATGAAACTTCAACATATTTTGATCGAACGATAGCAAAAAAGGCTTCATTTTTTAATAAACAAGATATTTAAATTGCATATAGAACAGGCAATATGTTGGTAAGGTTAGTTAAAAATAAAAATAATAAAGACAAAACATCCAAATTAGAGAAATCAGGAGTATATAAATTGAAGTGTGGAACGTGTCCTAAGGTATATATTGGTCAAACTGGTAGAATATTTAGGAATCGCATCCAAGAACATCATATGAGCTTTGTGAATGAGAGAACATTTCAACATATCCAAATCACCTTTTGAATGAAAGTCTTACCTCCAACGGATATTTTGAAAGTTCACACATTGAAAATAAAGGTTTGAAGCGCAATTATTAGGAAGCAATGGAAATTAATAAACTTAAGAATTCAAACATTTTACTGAATGACCAATTCGATTTAAATAGATCACCATTACTGAACTTGTTTTGTAAGAAACCGAAATTATATTATTGATGTAAAATTTATATATTATGCTATAGATAAGTATAATTTGAGGATGTACCTTAGGTATAATAATGTTGGGTTGACGCTTCAGATAATTTTGATCTAAAAAGCACTCAAATAGGTATCTCTGACTTATAATTACATAGAAGATATACAAATCAGAGCATATAATGGAATTAACTTGTAGGATTGCCATTCATTGCAAAAAAGCTACTGTGTCAGCGAAACATGTCGAGACATATTTCTTGAAAATGAAGTTTATGAAGATCAGATCGTGAGGTGTATTTTATGAAATTATTATGGATCTTCATCAAGTAACGGCCGAATCTGTCATAAAAGTATTCCAATTCTCCATCCACTTTCCTGAATGTTAAGAACTAGTTGCGAAGTTATCGATGTTTGAATTTGCGACTAGTAATTCAGTAACTTCTTTTCTCTGAATATCTGACGCGAACAATTTTTGAACATTCGAATGGAATGAAATCAAGTGAATTCTCAGTATCAATAGTGAAAACTGTCAAGCTAACACACTGTTCTCTGTTACTAGGGTAACACGGGGTTAATTTTTATTCACAAAGAAAATCAGGGATCGTGTTGAAAGTAGAAATGCCCCTTTTGTCAAATACTTTCTCTCACACATTTTTCCTGGTCTGCAATTAATATGTCACTAACCGATTATATGAATTCAAAACAGTGAAAGTATATAGAGAATTTGAATACCTTTCGAGCTGAGGTTCATAAGAGGGGTATTTCTATTTAAAAAAAAATTGATAGCTCTCTCTTTGATGCAAATAATGTCACTATATTGGCTGTTGTTGTCAAAAAGTACTGAAAGTGATCCCTCTTTATCCAATTTTGTTTTACTTTGAACAAAAGTAGAGAAGAAAAGAGGTACTATTTACGCCTGCGCTGTCTGTTAGAAAATAAGATGTACCCTTGGAAATAGTTCACCTTTGAGTTTTTTCCAATCCAGTTTTGATATGCACTTTTTTGGTATGAGCTCTCTCAGTGATTCGGTTTTCATCTCCTCAATCGTCACAAAACGCCGCTCTTTCATAGAATTCTTCGATCGTGAGAACAGGATATAGTCATAAAGGGCCGAATATGGTGAATACGGTGACTAAGGCATGACAACTGTGTTGATTTTGCCCAAAAAGTCAGGAACAAACAATTCCGAGTGAGCAGGTGCATTATCCTCATGCGAGATGCCATGAATTGTTTTTCAAGAATACCGGACGTTCTTTTTGTATTTCTCCTCGAATGTGACGCATAACTTCAAGATAATACTCTTCATTTACCCGTACGACGATGTGGCAAGCACTCCTGATGCACTACGCCACGGTTATGGAACAAAACAGTGAGCGAAACCTTGACATTTGTTCGAACTTGAAGTGTTTTTTTGGCCGAAATTCAGCAATTTTGGAACGAACTTCGCTGCCACACGCCTCATGCACAAAATTTCTCCATATCAATTTTCTTCACCTCCTCAACATTTCCATGGGTTGTTGATGTACTGGGGCGACTAAGACGAGCGCCACAGCCCGCGAATTTTGAACATTCATTATATTTTCTGAACAGTTCACGTGAATTCATAATGGGTGAATGAAACCTCAACGTCAATAAAGTTTTGCATACAAATTCACTACAACCACGCCACATTACTACGCAATGATTGAGTTTATAATCATTTGATGAAATTTCGAGAGCGTACGTCGAAAATTTCATATAGCATTATCATAAACCCATAAACCAGATCATTTGCTGGAAAGCAATTTTTTTGTCAATGAAAAAGTATACGCTTTTCGATCGAATGAACTTGATGAACGAGGGATATAAGTTGGAATTATTTCCAGGAAATGAAAAACAACATTCAATAACAGTAAATCTCTGTAAACACTAGCCTTCAACTGCATTATGCATCAAAAAAAAAATCACTGAGAAAGGTTTTCAAAACCCGACCATACCATAGTTTCCTCAAGCAGGAATGATATATTAGTTCTAAGTTAAACCTTTGTAGTTGCTATCGTAACGTGCCTCACAATTGTTAATTCTAGGCTAGATTCAACTTCCTGAAAGGAATGAATTCAATTATAGATTCCTCCTAGTGGAAACAGGTGATAATGATATCGCGCTATCGAAAGCGCTCGCATATAATAAATAGAAGCTTCAAATGCAAATATCTAGCTGATACCAGGTGAAAGAATTTTCATACTGATAGAAAAAGCTAGATTTGAATAGAGGAGTTCACAATTGTATAATTTCTTGCTAGGAAGGTTTGCCCGTAGACTGAGAAATCCTCAAGAAATTGAGAGCTACGAAATCTTGTTGATAGAGAGCTACATATATGAAAGTCAAATTATCTTTTCCAAATCAATCGAGAAATAATTGAATAGAACTGGCCGATACTTGATGAAAATCCATATTTAAAAAACTGATAAATAGAGTTCATTCTATTATTTTCACTATATTTCATCATAGTGAAAATCATAGAATACTATAATGAAATATAGTGAAAATCATAGAATACTCTATGTATTAGTTTTTTTTTCAATCGAGAAAATTCTCAGATATCAGTGCAGATGCCTGTGAGACGTGGAAGAACATAGTAGCCATAGATAATGTACGAGTATTTCTAAAACAAACTCGGTCTTTTTGTTTTGGCTGATTGTTTCATCACAAGAAAGTATTAGGTCTTATTTAAAAACGCCAAAATTTACACTTGACAGAGTATAAGACCTCTGAGTAAGTCAACTCAAACCTTGAACAATAATTTACCAATTTTACATAATTCTCATTTTTGACACTGCTTGGTAATGAAATACCTTTTTCGAAGAAGTTCTTCATCAGTTTTAGAAAGAAACGTCAATTTCTCGAAGATAAGTTCTTCACGTGATGTTCAATTCTGTTTCCACGAATTCGAAATATAAATTCTTTATTAGTTTGGAGTTATTTTGCATAACAGGCTGAACCATTCTTGTGAGCTCAGTAATTTTTCTGGATCGACTTAGTACTCTGATCTCTTCTAATAACTTATCACTTTCATCAGATTATAAAAAATAATCATTTGAATATTAATGTTATGTGAATTTTCGATTTGCAAAGTGTCTCATCATATAAATACTGACTATTCTCAGTCACTGAATACTTACTTTTGGCCAGTTTGAAAAACTTTAATAATGACAAATTGAATTTGAATCATTGTGCATTCAACCACCTACTCTTTGGAAATCATTCCAAATGATAATACTAGTATTCACCCAGTTATTAAGTTCAGTTTAATATAACTGAATCAGATAATCGAGAAACGATATACTCGTACTCGTTCCGAATATAAGCTGAATCCCTAAACATAATCACAAACTTTCCAGAGTTTTGTTGGCAATGTTTACAGAGAACACTGATCGGTATTCACACAACACTTCACAAGTTGATCCCAACACATCCTTGTTTCCGCAAGTAGATCCTTCAAGCCCCGAGGCCGTTTGCTCTAAGTCTCACTTACTTCTTACATGATATCGATTTCTGACCACAGCATGCCCATCCATTTGGCAAAGGAGAGTAGGGCGTATCAGTTTCTGAATAAAATTTCCAGAAACGCTCAGACGGTGTTAAAAGTTTTTGAAAGACAGTGTATTGAGTACCACCAACTCATTTTATTTATCAATCAAATTAATTTTCAAAACTCTGAAAAAATGATTGCACTATTGGGGTACAAATATAGGAAATTATCATATTTCCATTTTCGAACGGAAGTGAATTTTTGCGTAGGAAAACATCGTTTGTTTTTAATGTTTCTTTCACCTTCCATCAACTGAAAAAAATAACAATTGTAATGAAGAACTTCATACAGGTGAAGAAAGGGCAAACTTTCTACTTCACCCCGATAATTATATAATATTAAGTGAATCCAAAAAATTTTTTAAAAAGGAAAATGTTGTATTCATCAGTAATATTTGGGTGAACCCACCAATAATATTG